TCATAATCTAGCCAGAAATCAGATGTTGCTACACAAAACCCACACAAAACATGAGTGCTCAGTCGTAGCTGATGATTAAAGTCTTAATAATCAATAACATAATAGATTTTTTTTGGCCTTTTTCTTGTAAAGCAAGTACATCAAACTCTCCTCAGAAAAAAGTACTTTCTCTATCACTGCTCCAAGACTGTCAATAGCAATAACGCAATGCTTTAGCCAGGCTACTTAATTACTGTTTTTCAATTTGGGCCCACAAACAGCAAACAAGATGCACAGTATGTGCAGGCACAATCTGAGAGGATAAATAGGGTTTCAGAGCCACAGGGAAAAAAACCTTCCATGTTATCTATTCTATTTCAGAAGCCAGGCGTTTCTAAAACCTCCGAAGCAGAAGCGTCTAAGCAAGTGTACTAGAAAATATCTTCTACCATTTAGCTTTCACTGTAAGCGTGGAGACAGAGGGAGATGCTGGAAGTCCAAGGGAGGCAGGCATGATAAGATGAAACGGCATCAAAGTTTGGATGGGGGAACTAGGCTGCTAGAAAGGATCTGACTGGATCATAGGATAATTCAGGACCTCGAGAAGCATGGCCTGTGTTATCCACTGGTTAGTATTTTATCTACATTTTAATCTCTCCATTGTTATTCTTTCTAAATTACATTGCAATGAGACAGAAAGCTTGTTTGGTGAAAGTATCAAAAGAGATGCAAACTAAACAAGTGTCAAAATCACTATCAAAACCTCAGTCCATGATGATTCCTTTGCCCTCCTTTACACAAAGGAGTTTGAGCCTAAGATTTCGAGTATTACTTTTTCTTTTTTTCCTTTCCCCTTTCTCTCCATGACATGCTTGGTTCTGGTGAGGATGCATAACTGATACTCTCCAATCAGAAAGTAGAAATGAGGAGAGAGTGTTTGGCTTTAGCGAATCAGCCTGCTCCATGCTAAGCTTCACAACTGAAGTCAAAAATGGCAAATAAAAAGTGCACGGTCAGCGTTCAAGTGGTTAATCTATTCTTTTCATAAAGGTTTAAACAAACTCCAACTTTGAAGAAATCATAACCCACAAGGCCAGGGTATAGTCATTGCCAAACAATTGAAAGAACCATCACAGTATTTACTGCAATATCTGAATATATTGAGACGAATCATGGTGATTTTGTTGTTGTTGTTGGTTTTTTTTTGTTTTCTGTGAACTGTAAAAGGTAAGATGTTGCAATACCCACCATCACATACAGTAAGAACGTGCAATACCATCACATAACCTAGAATTGCTTTGTTCATTACTACTCGTAGGATTTGGCACGCTGCTCACACATCCTCCTCAACCTGTCTGAGAGCAGGCTGAGGCCATGCCATACAGCTCCCATTTTGCTGCTATAAATGAAATCAGTTATTTACAAAGGAGCTTGTCTTCGTAACGTGACTGTCAGTTCTGGTGAGAGTTGGAGCTAGTAATGACTATGCAGATGGAGAATGTCTCGGTACAGGGCGCAGCACAGCTCCCTTCACACCTCAACCAGCCCGGAAGCCTGTGGCAGGGTCTCACAAAAACCTGCCTGCAAAGGCCTGGCAGACGAGCCTTCCTGAGCTCTGCCACACAAG